CTCCGGCATTCGGCGTCTGCGTCACGCGTCACAAACGGCACATCACGTATAATTGCGAAACCTACGCTGGAGATTCTGGTGCAGCACTTCTCATCAAGGATGGATGTCTTGTTGGTATCCACCAGGAAACAGTCAATGCACTCCGCGAAGAGCTTGACCGCAAGAAAGTCATCAAGGATCGTTTGACCGATGTGGAGGAGTCTCTGGACAACATTGCGAGAAGCGGACTAGCGCAAGGCTGCTCAGGTCTTTTGGTTCATGAGTTCAAGAACGTAGTTAGCGAGTAGTGCGAATTGATGAGTTCATAAATTAATGGCACATCTCAGTCATGAAAAAAGTGGTGTCACAACGAATGTGACGTCTTCGGTGGCCAAACTCACATTTAATGACCACGGACCATGGCATGAGATTCCATGAATTCATGATCGGATTGGACCAAAAATTCTGAATTCATGACTGCGTAAAACCGGTATTGTACCGACAAAAAAAGGTGACCACCTTTAGTCTAGCTATCAGAAGCAGCGATATCAGTTATGAAACACTTCTAATGTTATGAATTCAGATAAATGCGGACCAGCCAGCGTGGGAAAAAATCCGTTTCAGAATTATATGCTTTTTTACATTACCCCCTATACCCCCTTTTACTTATTATAATATTCTTTATAAAACTGAAAAAAAGATAGACACCTGGACACTGAGATATATAGATTGATCTAGAGTTGCTATCGTTGCTTCTAATGAAAAGAAAGATGGACATAATTGTTGGACGCAAGCCGGACACAATGCCGATCACAACAATGAGCTCGGCATCTAAGTGTGTCGAAACAAAGCAACACCCCCCTGTTTCGATAAAGGATACAAAATAATTCACACATGGACACTTCGATAATGTGTCGTACTCATACAATATTTAGAAATGACACTATAACGCGTAGGCTACTGACAATTCCTGAGTACGACATTCATAAAAAAATGATAAGTCTGCTAATCTGCATATACTACTGGACTGTAGTAGTCAGACATCATAGAAAATTATGAACCTCACTGATACTTAGCGCGCAATTGCTCAAGACTTGGTATTTTCACGATATAAACCTTGGCTGGAGAAGTATTCTTGGTGATGCGATTTAAGTCATCCAGAGTAAGTTTTGACTCAACAATGACTTCTGGCTTTGATTTAGGAGTTGGCCATGCGTAGTAGTTCTCATCAATGCAAATTGGCTCCGGCTCATGGGTTTCAATATATTCAACATTCATTGCTTGTGTATATTAGAACAAAGTAAGTTTGTTTTACATCTCGAGCTCGCAACAGTCGGCACTTATCATAATGCGCTCTCCATATTTAAATGGATGCTCACGACAAAGCAATTGATCGACCTGTAAAACAAACGCATCCTCGTCTAAATCATAGCAAATGAAATAACACCAGAAAGCTTCTCCTTGACCAAACACCTTCACAAAGAACTTGTCATAATTCTCGTATTCGTCGATAATCTTGTAATCCGAGTTTGAAAGATCCATCTCTATATAACTCCAGCAAAAAAAAGAACCTTGAGCGAGATTACGAACTCATATTTGCGCTCAAGATCAAAAGCGTTGTTTGAAGAGCTTGTAGAAATCATCCACTTTCCCATGCTGTAGATAGTATAAGAATAAAATGCAAAAAGTCTCACAATGTCCAAATCGAGGGTCCTGAATATCAACTTCGCGATAGGAATAATCCTTTGGTATCACACGTGGTCTTGGTAAGCCGAGGGGATCAAAGTAAGTCTTATATTTGTTTGAGACTGCTAACCAATGTGTCCCGCCGATCTAGGCGTTCCCATGTTTAGAATACAGTAGTCCTTGTGTATATTCAAATGCTGTTTGAAATCAATTTGATCTACTTTGACACCAAGGGAATTGGCAAGTTTCGTCTGTCGTTCTAGACAATTTAATAATTATTTTTTCACTCATGACGCTTTATTTTTTCGGCAAGTATAATATAATCGACATCAATATAATCGCATAAACTATGTCTTCTGCTTCTGATATTTCAGCTTTCGAACATTCCGTCGAACCAGCTCCAGCTGAGACGCTCTTCCGTGATAAGAAATGGACGTATATTCAAGACTCAACGTCTAACACTGGTCAATATGCCGGTCAAATTCAATTCAATCTTTCGACCATCTCGTCGCAAGCCGCTTTCGTAAATTGGGAAGGAGCTTCCAGTAAAGCTTCAAATTCTTAACGGTGGTGCCGGTTCGATCACTTCGACTGCCACATGCACTATTGATCAATTGGTACCAAAGGCCGGAGCATGGCAATTCATTGACAGTGTTCAAGTCGTTATTGATGGAACCACTGTCCAAACGAATCAAGTTCATGAGAATGTGAATACAACGTTCAAAGCTATCACTGAAACGGATTATAATACTTCTGTCAAAGATGGTCCAACTAGCAACTTTGTCTTGGATGAGTATTCCACTCCAATGATTCAAGGGCCTTCCGCGGCAGCACAATCGCTTGAAAACGTCGCTACTTCGGCCTTTATGACCGCCACTAAAAGCATCGGTGAGTTTGGTTTAGCTAACACCTACTCGAACCGTGGAGCCGCCGAACGATCGCTTTTTACCGCTCTTGATCAACAAAGCACGAAGCTTGCATTTGATGTGATGGGAGGCAGTGCAAATCTTCAAGCCGTATCGAAACCCCAAGTTTATGTGGCTCCTGCTGGTGCCGTTGCAGCTGGTTCGCCATTTTATGTCGCGCATTACTTGGCTTGCATTAAGTTGCGGGATATCTGCGACTATTTCAAGAAATGCCCAATGCAAAAGAATACGCGCGGTTTCATTTACCTCAATTACAACAGTTCATCTACGACTTTGACTACGACTGGTAGTGCTGGTGTTGTCTCATCTACCACTATTGCCAGTTTGAGCAACAATATGAATTTTGGCAACACCTGCCCTGTGCTTTGGAATTTAAGCAGTGGAACAACGACAGCTGCTTTGGCCGGTGGCCTTGCGCTTCCTGCAACTGCGACCACGCTTACTATTACTGCCGATGTCAATGGAACTCCAACTGCAGGAGCTGGTATCACTCCTTCGCAATCGTTCTCGCGTCTTCTCGTTCCAACCTACTCGCCTAATCCCAGCGCCGATCATGCATTGGCTCAGAAGAAAACCTTCCGCTACTTTGAGCGAATCACGAATAAATTTACTGTTGCTCCAGGTGCTTCCTTCACTTGGACTGTCAGTAATGACATTGCTAATCCAAAGCATTTGATTATGCAACCTGTTATTACCAATCCAACCGCAGGTGCTACTGTATCGGACTTAATCAATCCTTTCCGTAGCCCATTTTCGACTGTACCTGCTACGACAAGTCCATTTGCTGCATTGAAAAATCTTCAGATCACAGTTGGAAACGTCCCTATCTGGAACAATCCTGTGAGTTTGGGATATGATTTGTTCGTGCAAGAGATGTCAAAGTCAGGTGTTGATGGTGGTCTTGATGATGTTGTCTCGGCCGGCTTGCTATCTCAGCGTCAATGGGAATCACGTTATCGATTTGTTGCTGTTGATATTGGTCGTCGTCTTCCAAGTGAAGATGGTGCAAGCAAGGGTATTATCGTGTCTGGTACTTCCAACTGCAACTACGCTCTAACCATTTATTACCACGTATTGCGTGAAGTTGTAGCCACGGTCGATACGGCTATGGGTACGGTTTCACACGGTCCTGTTCAAGGTTGATCTTGACAACTTCGTAATGTAATTCAATTTAACCACATTTTTTAATCATCTTCAATATACGTGGCTAATCAAAATCAATCATGAGTGGCTTTTTCTCCGATAATCAGACCAAGCAAAAGGCATATGATCGCTATTACAATGCCATGGCAAAAAGCGATTTTGTTCAAGGCAAAGCTGAAGGCTCTAATTCAAAATGAATTGTTGGATGATGCAAGTGCTGATTCACTTGCGAGTTTGTTTCAGCAAGTGATGGCGAAGAATCGTGAATATGAGTATGATCAAATCACAAAAAAACTACTCAAAGGTCCCAAAGGGCCCCCTGAAATCATCAAAGGTGAAGCACATGAAGCTCCTAAAGCAAGTAAAAAGAAGCATACTTACGTTCCACAATCAACTGATGCAGACTTCGATATGGAAGAGCCCACTGCAAGTAAAGATTCATCCGACGATTTCTACAGCGGAATACATGACGTTGCCCAAAAGGCCATCAATACTCGAGCATATGTTAAGGGAAAAAAGACTTTGAAGCAGGTGGTGGATGACCACGTTCGAAATTATCTTAACAAGCAAAGAGAGTTTAAGCGAGAGGATTCAATGCGAAGGCGTCAAGAAATAGCTGATAAATTTGCTGATGAAGTCATGAAAGAATCAGAAAAACTTCTGAAACGGAAACGAACCGCAACTCCCCCAAATAAATCTCCCACGGACAAACGAGCAACAAAAAAGCTGCTAAACGAGCTGAGGAAGAACCCTCGATTACTCGACAACTCTTTCAAGACTCGGATGTTGAAAGCAGTGATGACGAAGAAATAAAGGAAGAGAAGAGATTACGCAAGTTGAATCCTGGGATAAAAAAAGTATATACTGACGATATCAACAGCTACAAAAGCTCATTTGCAAATAATTTGTACGAAAGTATCCGACACAGATTTGGTGAAGCTGTTGAGGCGCGCAAAGGCAAAGAATACTTTGAAGACAATGCTCCTAAAGCGCCTAGAAAGCATAAAATGAAACGAGATGCTATGAATCAGTACAAAGCTGAATTAAAAGGCTGGCTCGATGGAATCTTTATCTAAACTTAACGTTGTTTGCGTATTTTTTTTTCTAACTCATTAACTTTCTTAATTAGAAGTTTGATAGCAGCAGCATTCAATGCGCCAAGTTGTGAGTAATCAAGAGTGTATTGATATCCTTCCAAATCATTGTCGCCTTCTACTTTCATATTTTCGTTTGGCATAACGCTAACCATTTCTCCACACACTTTCATTGCGTCTTGTGCGATCAAACCAAGCTTAGGCTTGCTTTCTCCTTTCCATGAGTAGATAACCGGCTCTAACTGATCATAATGCTCCAATGTAATTGAGATTGGCGTAATATTCTCTTTGAGTCGTCTGTCAGAGCTTGTGTAAATAGATTGCGAGCAAAATATTGAAGATGAAAAGATGGCAGACACTGTAATACTGACTGGGCCTAAACCAAGATTGCTCCAAATATTTCCTTGCACGTTGTATTGATAGCAATTTGATGGTCCACCGACACCAACTGTGTATGAGTTTGATCCTGATACGTGCAAAAACGCAGAGGGAGCCCCCGCCCCGATACCAACTCTACCAGCCGAGGTTATTGTAAGCCTTCGTGTGTTTGCAGTCATCATAACCAAATCATTGGTAGTTGTAGTTCCGAAATAGGCACTGTTAGTCGAGGTTGCATTTGTAGCGTTGCTCAGTTGTAATCCAAAACCAATGGGCGTTGCATTTGATGATTCCATGAAAATCGGCATATCGTAGTTAGCAGCTCCATCATTGAGTGCATTAGATGCTTTAATATAAACATTACCAGAGTTTAGTGTGAGAGGAGCAGTCCCAAATGAACTAGTGTATGGCGTGTTGGTGTTAAATATCATTTTATTAACAGTGTCAGAAACAAGGTAAAGACAACCACTTGACGGTGTAGGAGATGATCCGGAAGGATTTATACAAAACGCATCTGCTGAGGTAGCCAGGGTGTATGTATGAGGGAAACCTCTCTTGTACGGCTGAGTATTGCCAACATTAAAACAAAATCTATGCGTTTGAGACGTAAAACCCACGGATGGCTTGTTATTCCAATTGATATTGAATAAATCCGCACTTGTAGCTGAAACGCCGCCTACGAATGAGCTAGGATTATCAGTTGATATTAAGTTCAACACCGGATACGTTTTGTTGTTTGATGCTGATGTTGTTCTCGATGCAATAACCAATTTATTTGTATCAGATACTCGATAAATGTTCATTGTTTCACGATTAGCTGTATTTCCGTAAAAACGCAAACAATTGGTACTCGACGTGCCCAAAGGCATCAAGCCTACACCAGAACTATCCAATGTCATTGTTTTAGAGTTGTAATATCGTTGTAATTGAGTTTAGCAGCAGTAGATGTCATTGCCGATCCGTTGAGATTTAAATTCGTGTAGTTAATATTTAGACCAGCAGAGGTATTGATCGTATCGACTGTGATAGCAGGTGAAGCCATACTCGTTGAAGCAGTAAGGATGGAGCATCCTAAATTATTGATTCCACTATAATCAAGAGTTGAATATAGCACCACCGCCTTCGAAGCAGCAGCACTACCTTGAATAATCGACAAGTACAATGATTGATCAAAAGTAGTTCCATTGAATTTTAGCGATCCAGTGTTAATTCCAGTTCCAGACCCACCTAAATCCAATTGATAAGATGGTAGAATTCCAATGCCGACGTTTCCAGTTGAATCGATGAACATTCGAAAAGCTCCGTTATGGTAGAAATACATTGTATTTGGATTGCTTGCTGAACTACCTCTAACTCCAATTTTCAGCATAAAGATTGCTTGTAAATTTTATATTGGCTTGGGCAGCAGCAGAACTATTTGAGATTGATACTCCGTTATTCGCAGTTGTTGAAACAGAAAGAATACTAGTTAGAGTCCCAAGCGATGTAATATTTGGTTGCCCCCCAGCAGTGAGTGTTCCAGTAATACTTGTAGATGAAATAGAGGTGATACCCGTGAGCCTTACCAGGATCTAATACCAGAGCCTTTGAAGCTTGAGCGGTTTCAGCAGTTATACCTGAAACATATGACAATCCACTCAAATCAAGCGCAGAACCACCAAGTGTCAGAGAACCGCAATCAAGATTGCCCATCACGCTCAATGCAGATAGCGTTCCAACACCACCAAGCCGCAAGTATCTTTGATCGCCTGTAGTAATAGTAAGATATCCGTTAGATGCATTAAAGTAAGAGCTATTGAATAGAGGAGAATTGACAATTGGAGGAAGAGACATATTTGATCACTATACTATACAATGCAAAACTTCTACGAATCAATACCAAAGTCTAAACTTTAGAAGTTTCCAAAGAATCCACACTTCGAGCTGCCATTTAGAATGTGCGTTGCAAGTCCTAGTGGATCGGGGAAGTCAAACACCGTGCTGTATATAATAGCGCTTCTGAGCAAATGCTTTACCAAGGTCGTAATATGCACAAAAACAAA